GAGATATTTCACTCAGCATAATGTTCTCCAGGGTCACCCATTTTGTATAATATTTTATGAGTTCTTTGGTTTTCACTGCTGCATAATATTTCATTGACTACAGCTTCTCTATCCATTCGTTTGTTGATGGGCACTAGGGTTGTTTCCAACTCTTTACTATTGTGAACAAAGCAGCAATAAACATGGGGTTTTGTGGTTGTTTTTTTTTTTGTTTGTTTGTTTTTAAATAGACTTCTTATAACTGTCAACAGATTTCCTAATAGGGTCACACAATCAAAAGCATTTTAACTCCCACGTTACCTTGGCTGGAAAAAGAAATAGTTTTAAGAACCTGGTATGTTGCATGTTGCAGGAATGGTTGGTTCTTTCCAAGCATTCAAGTTCAAACTCATAGTCATCACCATTGCCACTGAGTCAAAATGGGTCCTCCCTTGCTGACCCTGCACTGGGTTTCTGAGACTGTAAACTGCACAGAGACGACTGCCCATCACGCCTCCTCAGATCCACTAGTAGAGTCAAATAGCCTGTGGTGGAGCAGCGTAACTCCCAACGGACCAGGCCACCAGATCTCCCCCTCTGAACAATTATTTCATCCATTCCTTGAGGAGCTGACACTCTCCACACACCAACTGAGAGGCAAACTCAAAGTTCAAGCCCTTCAGTAGGGAGCAGGGCTCAAACTTGGGAGTTTTCAAACATTTCTTCCCCTCTGTGTTATATTTTTACTGAAAAGTTGAGGGACTCAACTTGAAAGACATGGCACAGGGCTGCCAATCGGAAGGAGAGCAATTACCAAAGAGATGGGGGCATATCTGGGCGCCAGATGCTGCCGCCTCCTTGCCCATGGCTTTCCCCCATGGTGTTGGCACGAAGACCCTGGGAGACAGAGTGGCTGCCTTTCACCTTAATTAGCGCAGCAATTTGCTAAATTTTGTTTTTCCCTTTTTAAGAGTGTTAATCAATTTGAGCTCAGAATAGATTGAAATGGCACACCAATTACCACGACAATCCCCAAATGCTAAATTCTCAACATCTCCGTCAGCCTTGCGGCCGGGAATATGTGAAACCCAAAGACGGCCCCGGCCAGCATCTTTGCGCTCTACTGACAGTGTTAAGGCTCCGAAATGAAAAGACAATGACTTCATGACGTTTAGAACAAGCAAATTTGTCAGCATCAGCTTCATGCCCAGGTGTTTAGTCTTTCCCAAGGTGACTGGAGACGGAGCATCAGCGGACACCTGCCAAGTTGACAGTTCTTCTCATTGGGCTGAATCACAGACATGAAGGAGCACCCACTGCGTACCAGAAAAAAAAAGAAGAAGAAGAAAAGAAATGGAGAAAAGAGCCCACCAGTTAAGAAGGTTTAAAGTTGGGCGGATACAACCAGATCATTCAGTCCGTGTTCCTGAAGAAGTCAGCAGAAAGGTTCCAGGGAAGGGGCCATACAGCTGAACTGTTATTTATGAGGATAAGCTGAGGGAACACAGGTTAAAAAAGCTGCGTCACAGAGAGAAGCACAGATGACTATTTTAGGGCTAACTATTAAGTGCATTTCCAGGAACACAAGAAAAGGGGTTAGAACAAGTACCAAGGTTCAGTGTGCACCCAGGACTTCTTTAGCTCTGCAGAAATCTCTACCTCGATGCAAGCATCCACTGGGAATGAATTTTAATAAAGGAAGTAAAATGACTGAATGAATTTCATTTAGGTGTCACTCTGCAGCCCAATATTACCTTTTAAAAAATATTGTGCTTTTAACGAAAGTTTACAATAAGTTGGATTTTTCATTCACTCATTGTTCCATATTTTCTTCCCTGACCCTTCCAATTCACTTTTTTTCTATATTAGTTTGCTCACAAAGTTCATAGACACTGTGTTTTACACTATTTTACATTCATATTGTGTTTCATACTGTCATTCCTATGCATTATGTTTTATACAATCAATCACCAATGACCTTACCCATCATTACCCAATCTTTTTGGGTCCCCACTGGATCCCTCCCATTTCTTTCACCCGCCCCCTCCATCTACCAAACTGTGCAACCCTGTCCTTTCACCCCTACCTCAGCCCTCCCCCTCCTTGAGTTCCCATATATCCCAATATCATCTTAAAACATTTATTCAATATGATCTTAAAAGTACACTCACATATATCCACCCTCCCAGTTGAGCCTCCTGGCTTAAAAGAAAGGCAATCTCCTCCTGTGCAATCCATAGCCACTGAGAACTCACTGGAGGGTTGGGTCTGAGTAAGTTCCAGGTCCAGGGCAACAACAACAACAACGTCAGGTCATGACCAGCTGCCATCACATTGATTCTGACCCCTGGTGACCCCCTGGGTGAACCAAGCACAACTGCTCCCTAGAGGTCTCAAGGCTGTCACAGGTCAGAAGCAGATCATCAGGCCGTACCTCCAGGGTACCTCCAGGTGGGTTCAAACTGTCAACCTTTTAGTTAGTAGTGGAGTATTTAATGTACTGTGCCACCTGGGATTGCACTAGGCCCTGAGTTTGATATTATAATCATCTTTATGAGGATAAGAAGCCTAACCTGAAAGGGACCCAATTAGCTTTGTGTTTCAATAGCAATAAATGAGAACACAAACACTCTCTGGGTTGCGAAGGAGATCCACTCCCAATTGTGCCTTTAAGTTGAATTTTAAGTAAGATAGAGAAGGTGCTGCAGTCCTCACTTCAGTACGAGGAGAAAGGATCCCTAGGGAGCTCCGGCGGTCTAGTGGCAAGAAGCTGTGCTGCAATCCTGAAGGTGCGCGGTTCGAGCTCACCAACGGCTCTGCGGGAGAAGGATGGACAATCTCCTCCTGTGTGATTAACTGCCTCTAAAGACCCACTGGAGGGTCAGCTATGGGTCAGTTCCAACTCTGGTACACAACAACAGTTGAGCAGAACGATGTCAGTCTAGTGACTGAGACATGACTAATCGAGGCCATGGTCTTCACAATTCCTTGCTACATGTTAGAGAGCTGGACAATGACTAAGGATGACAGAAGAAGAATTGATGCCTTTGAGTTGTGGTGCTGGATAAGAATACTGAACATACCACATAGGCTGCCAAAGAAACAAACAGGTCTGTCTTGGAGAGGGTGAAACCAAGTTTCTCCTTGGAGGCTAGGATTTTGAAGCTCTGCCTCACATACTTTGGGAACATGGCCAGTAGGAACGGTTCACTGGAGAAAGATATAATGCTCAGAAGCATGGAGGGACAACACAGGAGAAGAAGATTGTGGATGAGACGGAATGATGCAGTAACTGGTGCAATAGGGGTAGGTGTGTTGGAGTCAGTGAGGTTCAGGACAGAGCAGGGTTCAGAGCTACTGTACATAGGGTCGCTATGAATTGCAGGCAATTTGACAATACACAGCAACAGCGGTGGTGCAGCGGTTAATGAACATGGTTACTAAGACAAATGTAAGTAGTTTGAACCTACCAGCTGCTCTAGGGAGAGAAAGGATGTATCCTGGTTCTGGAAAGACTCAGACCCTTGGAAATCCTATGAGCCATTCCACTCAGTCCTACAGGGCTGACTGTGTAAGTCAGAACTGACTGTATGTCATCAGGTTGGTGCCAAAAAATGAAGCTGGAAGTCTTTGCAGTGATTTAAAAGTACACGTGCAGGAAGCGACAGGTAAAGGTGATGATGAATTTGTTCAGGAAGGGTTTACCCAACCATTGCAAAATGTGGGCAAATGTATATAACATTAAAGAATAAGCATGTGGTATCCGTATATTAGTTGTTCATAACACAGACATTGTGTATTATGTGAATTCAAACCCAGTACATAGACTTCTTTTCCCCCCCTACTAGTTTATTTACAAAATCAAATACAGTGTTTTCAAGAACAAATTATTTCAATTCCTCCCCCCGTCATCAAATTGTACAAACCCAAGATTAATCTACTCTCCTCCTGCACATCCTCATCCCTCTGCTTCCAACCTCTTCCACCCCTCATGGATCCTTATACTCATTCGACAATTATGGTTTTATGCAATATTTATCCTCGTGGGACCGAGTTCACTCAGCATAATGCTCTCCAGTCTCTCCTAAGTTAGGTAATAATTTACAAAATCATTGCTCCTGCGTGCTGCACAGTATTCCACTGTGTGAACGTACCATAATTTCTCAATCCATTCATTTGTGGTTGGACATCTAGACTGTTTCCATGTTCATGAGATGGTGAATAATGTTGCTATGAACACTGGTGTAAATCTCAGTTTATGCCTCAGTTTTCGTTTCCTCAAGGTATATTCCAAATAGTGGTATAGCTAGATCATATGGAATTTGTATGTTCAGCTTTTTGAGGAAGCACCAAACTGCCTTCCAGAATGGTTGCACCATCTCAGACAAGAGTCTTATAACAAAAGTTTACAGAATACTCCTGGGCTTCCACAAGAAAAAGACTGATAACCCAATTACAAAATGGGTCAAAGATACAGAAAGAATTTTCACAAAGGAAGATTTTTAAATGGCAAACAGACACATGAAGAAATGCTCCAAATCACTGCCAATAAAAGAGATGCAAATCAAAACCACAATGAGGTACCATCTCACTCCAGTAACAGTGGCAAAGTTTAACAGGGCAGTAAGTAATAAATGTTGGAAAGGATGTGGCAAGAAATCTTATACACTGTTGGTGGGATAGTACATTAACTTCTGAGTTCAGTATTTGCCTCACTGGGTGATAAAATCTCTAAATAGGTACAAACAAATCCATTCTCTGTTGACAAGGTCAAAGGCCTCCACAATCTACAGAGAGCTTGGATGGTCACACTTGCACAGACCAGCATGGATTCTCCACCATCAGGTGGTGGCCTTAGTGCCCTCGATAATAAAGTCAGACTCAGCTAAGAAACCACCTCAGATGCATACGGATGCTTTAGTTAGGTCTGCAGGTTCACACAAGGCTATGGGCACCCAGGCCTCACACAAGGAAAACTTCTTTATCGGGGATCCTGGGAGGCACCTCCCCTCCGGCCCTACCTTGAGCTCGTCTGCATTGTAGAAGTCAACACGCACGGCGGGCACCATCCATGTCTGGAAGAGCGTGGCCAGGATCTGCTCTGCAATGCTGTCGGCGATGAGGTGGAAGTGCAGTGGGTTCCGCCTGTGGGGTGGAGAGCAAGAAGAGTGAGGAGGCTGACAGAAGGCTGCTGGAGTCTCGCCACAATAACACAGGAGATTCCAAATGAGGAGGCCTGGCCGGTCTCTAACAGCAGCTAGGGAAGTACATCGGGCAGCGCACCAACCCCATGCTAACTGATGCCATCACAAAAGCACAGAGCATTGAAACAGATGAGGGAGAGAACAGGTTAAACGAGGTACATGATAGGGTATTATGGTTATCACAGGAGTCCAGAATGAAGGTTGCCTAGTTGAGTGTACTTGGGGAGGGAGAGGGAGGGACTGTATACCAATGAAGGAATTTTTCTTTTACTTTTCAAAGAGAAGAGCAGACTGGGGTGGAGAGGAGGGGTTGGCAGGGAGAAAAGTACAACAATGAATGAATGGAAATCCAAAATCTCTGTAAATGTTCATTAAAATTAATAATTTTTTTTAAAAAAAGCACAAAGCAGAAGACAACTCTCCCACCACATGCATTTCATACATAACCAAAGAGAAAAAAGCACAGATGAGCTGTGATGCCCGATGCAAGCCAACCATCACGTGTCTTTACACGGTTTTGTGATTCCAACATTCTTGCACGGAGCTTAAACTGGAACCATCAGGCCACGTCTTTAGACCCGGCACCCGTGCCTTTGTGCACTAACACAGGACCAATTTAGCAGAAGTCGCAGGCTCTAGCCTGGGTGTGTGCAGTTGGCACGACACATCAGTGCCAAGTTCCCTTTTCTGCTCGTTCCTGTCCTCAGGAAACCCACACTAGAAAGAAGTCACCAGAGGCCCTGATCACGGTCAGCTCATTCTCGTGGGCAGTATCTCCCCAGCTTTTATTTATTCAGCATCATTCAAGCAACCTAAGAGATCTGGCACCCAAAATAAGAAGCGCATTACCCAGCATGGAAGAGGGAAACTTTCATCGGCATCTTACTAGTTATCTTTCTGTTTTTACAATAATTGTCTTCTGCAGTATTTGTCTTTATGAGACTTGAGCTAGTTCGCTCAGCTTAAGGCTCTCGAGGCTCTCTAGATGTTAGATAGTAGTTACAAAGTCATTGCTCCTTAGTGATGCACAGCATTCCATTGGCAGCAAGAGGCAGAGGGTGGGGAGGTGAGGATCTCACTAGTTTAACAGAGTATGGGGACCAGAGGGGGTGATGGTGAAGGATTAAGAAAGATCCAATGGGAACCCGAAAAAAATAGTGTAATAGTAGGCACAGATGCACTTTATAAGTCACAATGTACTTATGATGAGTGATCATTTGAAACACAATGTGAATGTAGGGCTGTGTGAAACACAATGTACATGAGATACACAATGTATATTAATTCTGTATGCAAATCAATACAAAATAAAAATACATTGTGTGTGTGAGGGGATGTGAAACTTAGGAATTCAAATTCAAGCGGGTTCAGACATATCACTTCCAGATGACTGCTGACTTGATCTCATCAATGGGAAGGCTGACTGACCCCCGTGAGAACAGCAGCCCCGTCACAAGGATTGTAGCTCCTGTAAGCTGTACCTTTCCATTCCCTGATTCTCTACTCGAAGGAGCTCAGCTGGTCTAGTTTGCAATGTGCTGGACTGCTGACTGCAAGGCCGGCAGGGTAGAGCTACTGGTCACTCTGCAGGATGCAAATGGCCAGTCTCCTCCCATCAACTTTCACAGCCTTGGAAACCTGATGGTGGGCTGCTGTGACCTGAAACACCCCCAATGGCAGATGGTTACCCTCTATTCTACCTCCAGTTCCACTGCCCTCATGTTGACTCTGACTCACAGTCACAGAGCCTTGCGGGACACGGGAGAACTGTCCGCAAAGGTTTCCTAGCCTGTAATCCTCATCTTTCTCCTGTGTAGCTGCTGGGTTTGAACTGACAACTTTGGGGTTAGCAGCAGAATTCTTTAACCACCCTATTGCTGCAATTCCCTTTCTGCTCCTTAAAAATAAAACAAACCACTGTTGTCAGATCAGTTCCAAGTCACGGCGACCATCCACTGTGTGTCTGAGCTGTAAAAGCTGATGTGAGGAGAGGAGGAAATCTGCTGTCTTCTAGCGGCCAGCGTAAAAGTAACAGGAAACACAGCCCCAGCCACTTAGCGAGGAGCAGGATCAGAATCACAGCAGGCTTTTACTCTCGGAAATCCAACTGCTAGCAAAAGGGTCCTGTCTGGGGTCCCTGAAAGCCAAGACAGCCCAAGGGCAACTCTCCGAATATCACTCATCAATTCACCCAGTTGTCACTGAGCCTGGGGCAACTTGTGGCTTGACCCTCTGTTGTGTCTTTGGTGGCTGGAAGTCACAAGGGAGGAGACTGTTCATTCTTCACTCAGGGGATCTGAACCACTAGACATTGTGTTAGCAGTATAACTGCCTGCAAACTATACGACCAGGGCTCCTTGAATGCCAACAAGCTAGTAATTATTAGTGGAGTATTTCCTCAACCCAGTCTCTCCTGAAGAACGTAAGCTCCACGGGGACAGTGACTTTGTCATGTACCGCTGCATCTCACATGTGGAACCACCCTGGGCATGAGATGTCAGTGCTCTCATCTGCTCTGAACGATTACACGGATGAAGACCTAGAACAATTTTCAAGATGGGAAAATCGCACCCTCTCCTGATCGTCAGCATGGTGTTCTCACCGAATTGCCTGCCGGAGTTAAAGGAGCACCACTCACCACCCTCGTAAGCTAGAATCACGAGCATCACCTGGTTTGCTTCTCCACACAACTGTTCAAGCCCCACGATTGCTGTTGTTAAGTGCCATGAAGCCAGCTCAAAAGTACAGTGAGGGGAGCTCTGGTGGCCTAGTGGCAAGGAGCTGCAACTACAATCCGAGAGGCGCACGGTTCGAATCCACCAGATGCTCTCCCGGGGAAGGAGGGACAATCTCCTCCTGTACCAGTCAGATCTGATTTGACGGTACACTCACACACCCTGCCCAATCCTGCGCTGTCCTTACATCTTGTGCTTTCAGCCCACTGGTGGCATCACCGTGTCAATTCACCTCCTTCTGTCAATCATCGACTCTGCTTTGCAGACCCTCTACTATTCCAAGCCTGACCTCCTTTCCCAAGGACTGATCCCTGGTGCTAACATGCACAAAGTATGTGAGGCCAAGTTTCACCATCCGTGCCTCTAAGGGGCATTCTGGTTGCACCTCCTCCAAACTACAATTTGGTCTTTGGCAGTCCATGGGCTAGTCAATGCCTTTGGTCAACACCAAATTCAAAGGCATTGAGTCAGGGGTGCTCTGGCGGCCTAGTGGCAAGAAGCTGCGCTGCAACCCTGAAGGCGTGAAGTTTGAATCCACCAAATTCTCTGCTGGAGAAAGAGGGTCAATCTCTTCTTGTGCCAGGTGAATCTGATTCGATTGTACACAAGAAGAAAAGGAAAACAAACGAACAAACCAAAAAACCAAAACAAAGGCATTGAGTCCTCTTCAGTCTTCTGTAGTCAATGCACAATTTTCGCATGCAGATGAAGCAACTGAAAAGTCTATGGCTCTGATCAGGTGCGCCTTCATCTTTAAAATGCCACCATTGCTCTTTAGCGCTTTAAAAAGGTCCTCAGCAGCAGATCTGCCCAATGCAGTACCTGCTTTGATTTCTTGATGGCTGCTTCCAAGGTTGTTGACAGTGGATCCAAACAAAATGAACTGACAATTTCAGTCTTTACTTAGCATGATTCTTACTGATGCAGTTGTAAGGAATTTTATTTGATGTCATGGTGTAATCCATTCAGAAGGCCGTCACCTTTAACCTTCTTCAGTTAGTGCCTAAAGTTTCTGTTTCCTAACCTACACTCGCCCAACTAACTGCCAAGTGCAGGAGGCAGCCTCAATGAGGTTAATGTTGTTAATGTTTAGACTAGTTTTTATCCTCTGTGGTTTTACACAAATTATTGCAAATGTTGGGAACAGGAATCAGAAGTCAGAAAATATGGACTTGGTGACAAGAAGGAGGATGGAGATAGAATGATAGAATTTTGTACAATCAACAGCAACACCATTTATAAGAAACACAAATGTAGACTATGCACATGGATTTCACTTGATGGTATGCACAGGAATCAGTTCACTTACATCTATAGAAAGACTCCGTAGAGAACCTCATTATCAGCACTGAAAATTAGGCCACTCACATGCAATTTCAAACTAAAGCTAAAGAAGGTTAAATCAAATCCATAGAAACCAAAATTTGACCTTGACTCTGTCCCACCTGAATTTAAAAACTATCTCAGAACAAATCTGAGCGAAGTTTGAGCGAAGACCAGATGAGCTGTGGGAGGATATCAAGGAATGCAAAATGTCATTAAAAGACAGAAGAGGAAGAAAGACAGAGATTGATGTCAGAAGAGGCTCTGAATATTGCACTATGGTGCTGAGACAAAAGCAAAGGGAAGAAATAAAGAAGTTAAGGAGTGAGAGCACAGAAATAGACCCAGCTATCTATGGTCAACTGATATTCAACAAGGAAATCAAAGCTATCAAATGGGGAAATGATAACCTCTTCAACAAATGGTGCTGGTAAAGCTGGACTTCCACCTGCAGAAAGCTGAAACAGGATCAACATCTCATACTATACACAAAAATCAACTCAAGGTGGATCAGAGACCTGGGAGTAAAGCCCCAAACCATAAAGTTTATAAGAGACAAACTGGTATCAAGCTTAGAAGGCCTAGTCTATGGTATAAAGAGACTGCCAAATACAGCCAAAAATGAACAACCTGAGGAGGATAAAATTCATGAATAGGACTTTCTAGCGATTAAATCCCTGTGCACATCAAAAACTTCCCACCAGGGTGAAAAGAAACATATCGACTGGGAATATACCATCTCAGACAAGAGTCTCATAACGAAAGTTTACAGACTACTTCTGGGCTTCTACAAGAAAGACTGGTAACACAATTACACAATAGGCAAATATATGGAAAGAATTTTCACAGAGGAAGATTTTCAAATGGCAAACAGACACATGAA